GGGAGGCTGAAGGCGGCGAGGGGTGGCAAAGGAGTGCTTGGAGCTGGGTTTTCCATCACCGGTGAGGGAGGGGACGTGCTCGTGGGGGGAAAACAAGGCACCTTTTGTGCAGCCTGGTGCTCTCTGCTGCAGCTCCGCACTGGCTCACGGGTTGTTTTCCTCCAGCTTCGCTCCTGTCTGCTCTCTCTGCCCTGACGTCTGCAGCTGGGAAAGGTGCCGGGAGACGGAGAGGGCAAAATATCCTCCCTCTCCAGGTCCCGAAAGCAGTCAGGGGTGAGGAGCAGAGCCCCCTTCGGGGTACCCCACGCCGTGGCACTGTACTCCTTAGGGTTATATGGCCATAAAGCCCCTCGTCTTGCCCCAGCTCTACCACAAGCTGGCTGGAGGTAGTGGGGTCTGGCTGTGCCACAAGTCTCGGCCCCACACTTCTGCCCCTGGCACTGGGCAGAGGTAAAACATAGCTTTGGCAGAGCTGTGCTGGGGTTATGGCAGGGAGAGGGGAGTGCCTCCTAAACCCATCTTTGGGAATAACCAAGGTGAAGCAATTGCCGTGGCACAGGAGGGGAGTAAAAGGCTCACTGGCCTTGGGCATCAGGCAGTGGTTTTGGCATCAGCATGGTGCAGCCTGAGCAGGGCTTGCTCCTTGGCCAATGATGCTCCTTGTTGGCTGTGCTTGGGCAATCACCGTAGGCAGGACCCCATCATTATTCACACGTGTGTACTCGTGCGCCTGTGTGCCAGAGAGAAACTGTACATGACCCTTTTGGCCATCGCAGGGAGCATTCCCCTGCCACTGCAGTACTGCGTCAGCCCTCCCCTGCAGATGTCCAGGCTCTATTATTGGTGGTGTCAGGAGTGAGACCACCATCCCCTTTTCACCGGGGCCCCCGGTGGGGCACACAGAAAGCAAAAGCCACTTCTTGCTGGAGTAGCAGAGGAGCTTCAGCCCTTGCGTTGTGGCCAGTGTCGTTCCCACACTCTCTGGAAAGGGTTTCTTTAGAAGCCCCAGTCTCATTGCATAATCACTTGTTGCTCCTCTCTTGCTCTGTAAAAGTCAGAAGAAAGTTTTAAAAGATGGCAAGGCTGCTCCTGAGTTTCTGTTGCCAGACTGTGGAGGGGGTGTTTGAGTTGTGCTTGGGGTCTGCCATGCTGCCACGCTGCAGACTGTGTGTTTGGGGGCCTAGAGGGACTCCGAATTCTGGGAATGGTCTCTTGTGTGGGCAGACTTAATACTTTCAAAGAACACCTAGTTTCATTTGTCTCAAGATTTCACATTTTTTAAAACAATGGGATCAGTTCATGGGCTGAGCATTATGGTAGAAAGTATCAGCTGAATGCACAGGTCTTTCAGACGTTCCCATGGCAGCGTGGGATCCATCTGGTTAGCTAGTCCTCTCAAAAAAATGAGCCTTTTGAGAGCATTTAATTAAAGTGCATGTGCATCGCAGGCCTCCCCACCATCCCCACGATGTGTGTTGAATCCGTGGCGTGTACGTGCTAGAGAGTCGCAGGCCTCCCCACCATCCCCACGATGTGTGTGAATGTGGTGTGTACGTGCTAGAGAAACCCCTTGTCACCTGCGACTCTGACACCAGAGAAAGAAATAAGAAAACACTTCCACCATGGGATACGGGTCTGGAGGAAGCCCAGCTTCCTTTGCTCACCGCTTGTCAAGTTCTGTGTCACCGTGGTTTTCTTGGGTGCCTGCCATGCTGTGGGGGCTAGTGCTCAGCTTGCTGCCTGGCCCACGTCCAGATGCCGGGCAGGGG